ATTTTTTTGGTGGTGGGTAAATGGATATTAGGAACCCTGGAGGTGTCCTGGTTATGAGTTGGGCTGCAATCCAAAAGATCTCCAGTTCGAAATACCAGCTGTTCCACAGGAGAAAGATTGGGGTTTTCTGGTCTCATAAAAAGTTACCATCTCATTAAAAAAATATATATATATGAGGAGCTGAAACCAAGGGCTCAAGTAGAAAGACAATGACGATGGCAACCAGTGTACAAATGTGCTTGACACGATGGATGCATGTATGTATTGTGATTTGAGCTTTATGAACCCCCAATAAAATGATTTAAAAAAAAGATGTTTTGGAAATGTTGATGCCAACGTATATACAAGTGTGCTTAATACAACTGAACGACGTTATAAGATTTGTAAGAGCTCCCCAATAAAATGATTTTACTAATAATAAACATTAAAAAAATAAGTTCGTCTCAGAAACCCACAAGGGCAGCTCTACCCTGTGAGTCGCATCAACTTGACGGCAGTGAGTATGTGGCTATTAACCTTGTGCCTGGACCATGAAACCACAAAGTCAATTTCAACTCACGGCGACCCCCAGTGAGCAGGGTGGAACTGCACCCCACAGGCCTCATGGCACTTGGCTTTCGAGGCTGTGAGCCGTTAGAAGCAGATTGCCAGAGCTTGCTTTCGAATAAGTTTGAACTACTAACCTTTCAATGATGAGCTGAGAGGTTTATCACTAGTGCCACCCTGGGATTCTCATCTTGACGGTGGGGAAAAAGCAATGACAACACATACAAACTGACCACTCACTTCTATGCCGACTCATCGAGACCCTACAGACCAGGGAGAACTGTCCCTGTGCGTCTCTGAAATGGTTAACTCTGTACTGGAGTAGAAAGCCTCATCTTTCTCTGGAGCCGCAGCTGGTGGTTTTGAACTGTGAACTTTGCAGTTAGCAGCCCAATGCGTAGCCACTACACTGCCAGGGCTCCTGACCATAGTTGGCACTTTGATGGCATAGGTTGTGACCTCAACTTCCCCAATGTTCAATCACAGACAGGCATGCTCCCAATCTGAACACGAGCATTCTCCTGGGTCATCAGGAAAACGGGCCTGCACAAACCTGTTTCTAAGCAAGCAAGCAATCCATCTTGATTGATTGATTCCTGTGTGCGCACTTGTGAGAAGCCCCGGTGATGGTTCGAACTGACCACTCCAGGAGCTGAGTGGATGGCTGTGGAGGCTTGACCAAGGCAAGGCTGAGGTCACCCACCTGGACCCGGCAGGGCTGTGTGTGGCTCTGGCGTGAATGGGTCTTTTCTCAGAGGAAACCTCTGAGGAGCAGAGAGACCTTTCTTTGTAGCTGGCCAGATGGGGTCTCGTACAGGAATGAGGATGGAGAATTTAGTGGTGGCGAGAAACTTGGGGCACAAGTTCAGGCTAAGTCTTAACTGTTTGAGTGACTTTGGGGCAAAATAATTTAACCTCTTCAGATTTCAGGTTAGCAGCTGAAAAAGAGGGGGGTTGGGAGGCTTTTGAATTCCCTCTGTTATTAAGTGCCTTGCAGCAATGCATAGCTACTAAGCTTCTATATCAGCCACACATGTGCTTTCCTTTAAGAAAAATTTTCCAACGGTGGCATTATCAAATAGCCATGATCCTAGGGTAAGGTGACCAGACATCCCGCTTTTGTCTGGACAGTCCCGATTTTTGGTGTTTTAAAAAAGTCCTGATTTTTGGAAAGAATGCACGACAAGCTAAGGAATGGTCTATTTGATCCATATAAACCAAATTTTTAATCAAGAAACAACTCCCCCCACCCCATCCAATGGTGTCCCGCTTTAAATCTGGTCACCTTTTCCTAGGGGCAGGGCAGCCGTAGTGACCGTGGGTTAGCCATGAGGCTGTGGACCAGATTCGATTCTGAGCACCTAGCTTGCAGAAGGCCAGGACTGTGTCGTAGGACACAAAAGAGACCCCCATCCCAAGTACAATTTAAGGAGAACATTTGTTAAGTCTTCAGAGAGACAAAGACAACATCAGGACACGGACGCATTATCCAGAGGAGGGAGTCCTGGAGCATGAGGTCTAAATGGTGTCGGGGGATTCAGTCAGGATGCTAGGTACATAAGGCCTGGAACACAGAGAACTGTCACAAATTCACAATCGGTGGCAAATCGACACATCGCTGATACAGGTGGGACTCCCAAACACCTGTACACCTGTACGACAGATTGTGCCAGGAACAGGGCCGTGATTGGGACACATACTTTGTTAGAGAGAAGGGTTTACAACAGCGGTTCTCAACCTGTGGGTCTCGACCCCTTTGGGGTCAAACGACCCTTTCACAGGGTTTGCCTAAGACCAGTGGAAGACACATAAATACTTCACAATATACAATTACATATTGTTTTGTGATTCATCACTATGCTTTAATTATGTTTCATCATGTTCAATTTGTAACAGTACATCCTGCCTATCAGATATTTACATGACGATTCATAACAGTAGCAAAATGACAGTGATGAAGTAGCAACAGAAATATTTTATTTATTTATTTATTTATGGAAAATAATTTTATGCTCAGGCTCACAACATGAGGAACTGTATGAAAGGGTCACTGCATTAGGAAGGCTGGGAACCACTGGTTTACAAGATTGGATCAGAGCCTTCTGACCAAGGCAGTTATCGGGAGACTGATAGGACAGGATTCAAGATTATGTGAACCCCCCTCCCCTCCTCCCGTCAGTAACACCCTCAGTAAGGTGATCTTCATCAAGGACAAGCCCTTAAGCGAGAAAGCCCCTCCCTGAGCTGGCTGAGGGGGGTGGAGGTAATCTCTCCAAGTGAGAGCAAGATCATCACCATGCTTGATTAATGATCAGAAAGAATTCAATGGAGGCTTATGTGATATGGAGGACTCTGCAAATGGAGTTTGGGCTGTCTGTCACCGATATTGTTGTTAGATGCCAGTGAGCCTGTTCCTACCCTATGTACCACAGAAAGAAACACTGCCTGGGCCTGGGCCATCCTCACAACGGTTATGTTTTAGCCCACTGATACAGCCACTGTGTCCATCCGTCTTGTATAGGGTCTTCCTCTTTTCCACTGCCATCCATGCTGTTGTTGTTAGGTGCCAATAAGCCAGCTTCGACCCACAGCAACCTGATGCCCCAAAGAATGAAACACTGGCTGGTGCCGCATCCTCCTCACGACTGTTCCTATGCCCAAGTTCACTGTTGCAGCCAAGGTGTCAGTCCATCTTGTTAAGGGCTTTCTTCTTTTTCTACCCCTAATTTTCCAAACACGATGTCCTTCTCCAGGGACTGCTCTTTCCTGACAACATGTCTGAAGTACGTAAGATGAAGCCTGGTCATCCTTTCTTCCAAGAAGCACCCTGGCCATTCTGTGAGCCCTTCATGGTATTTTCAATAGCCCTCTTCAGCACGGCAATTCAAATGCATGATACTCTTTTGCGAACTGGGGTGCTCAGAATTTAAACTCTAACCCCTTCTTACCATGAACTAAGGAGGAGAACAGCCTTGCCCTCTGGATGAGTGCACTGGACTGTTACTGGTTTGAGGCCAATCTGAATGTGTGAGTTTCCTTTGTGTGCCCTCCCCTATTGAAGGAAATGTGCTGCTATGAATCCTGGGGCGTCATGACCTCACAATCGTGGTTTCCTTCATGCAAATGCAGAACCTTTGTCCAATTTAAGACTTCACAAACGTTCTCCTTAAATGATGCGATTGGGGTCTCCTTTATACCCGCAAACAGCTGCGAGCTCCAGGGTCGGAGGGTCAATTTCACTAGTGGCTCCGCAGGAGAAAGCAGCAGCTTCCTGCTCCCACAAAGAGTTCGCTTCATACATTTCCAGGGACCGTTCTACTCATCAGGTTACCAGGAGTCAACGTCGGCTCAATGGCAGCGCGTTGTGGTTTACCTTGTAGGGGACTGTGCCAGAAACTTCAGGGGCAGGGACTGAAAGACTGATAACAACTTCACGAAGACCTAAAATACCCACATTTTGTTTCAACCAGTCTTTGTCCCGTGCTGAGCCCTGGTGGCGCTGTGGGGTAAGCGAGGGTTCACAGTTCAATCTTCCCCAGCTGCTCCGGAGACATCGTCTGGAAATTCTAGACAGGGCCGCAATGAGTCTGAATTGACTGGATGGCAGTGGGTTGTTTCCCCCCCCTGATTTTAGCTGTGTGCTCAATGGGCACTGGACCCCTGGCTTCCCCGGCCTTGACTCTTAACCCTCCCCTTTTGTCGTTCAGCGGGGGCATTGATGGTCGGGGAGAGCTCGGTGGTGGTTGATCCAGAGATCGCCATCAAGAGGGGAATTGAACTCAGGGCTCCCGACTCCGGGTAGCGTGATTTTTCTCAGAGGAGACGATGTCTAGTCGCTAAAAGGGGAGATGCAATGGTCTCCCCTGGGCAGCCTCGCCGTTCTGGGATGCAAACGTGGCCGGCGACCGCGAGCCTCACGGAGGACCCAAGGAGAGGACTCAAGGCCTCACCCGGAAGTTGAGCGCGGCCGGGCGGAAATGCGCACCGCCGAGAGTTCCGCCGGAACGCCCCCCGAGTCTTTCGGGGTGTGAGGTGGGGGGAAGGAGTGGGGAGTAGAGAGAGAGAAAGTGTGTGTGTGGGGGGTCCTACCATGTATCCTAAGATGAGTTCCCTCGGCCTTTACTCTCCTCCATCGGGGTTCTCGCTCTTCTCTGCTGGCCCCTCGGAGTATCCGGGCTCCGCGCCCAGCCGGTCGACGGGAGGCCGGAAGCGTGCCGGCCTGAGCACTGCGCATGCGCACCCAGCCGTAGGGGCGGGGCGAGTGGGAGGCGGGGCGGAAGCTCGGGCTCGGGCCCCGCCCCTGCGCGGCTCACGCGTGACGTCACGGGGGGCGCCGGCCTAGAGCGGTGAGAGCGCGCGGTGGACGGGCCCGGCGCCGCCGGCCAGCGCTGCACCCGGGGCCTGAGCTCCTGCACGAGGGATCCTTGGGGGGCAGTGGGGGGCCCAGGTGCATGCTAGCTACCCGCCTCCAGGCCCCGGCTCTCCCTCTTCCTTTTCCCTTTTCCGGGCGTGCCGGAACGGGAAGCTGGGCAGGGACTGGGCATTTTTGACAACTGTGCTTCCCTGGCGCCCTCCTCCCCCCACCCCGTATGTGTATCTCCTTGCCTTCCAGATGTTCCTTTTCTTCGGGCTGTCGCTTCTCGCGTGGGATAAGATGGTAGCGTGGAAAGAGTGCTCAACTTGGAAGCAGGAGACAGGTTTCAGACCTTGGCCTTACCACGCCTGCGTTAAACCCCTCCCCCCAGCCTCAGTGTCCCCCGCAGTATTATTAGCCTCATTTGCCCTGCTGACCCAGGGGTCAGTCAGAATGGCACAGAGAGAGACAATGGGCGCTTGAGCTCTTGCATGACCTGGTCCCACGCAGACCCGCGCCCTTCGCTACGTTGAGTCATCACGTGGTGTTCTTAGAATCCCCATTTCACACGAAGTGCGCTGACTCGCATCCACAGAGCCAACGAATGGCAGGGGGGACACACAAAGCCAGCAGTGTGGCTCTCAACTGGAGCTTTTTTCCAGCTTTGACTTCCTCCTGGGGGTGGGGGTGGGGGCCTGTGGCTGGAGGAGCATCTACAGCCAAACCCAACCCCAAAGGGCTTCTTCCTCCTCCCACTGACAATTGCCCCGTTTGAGTTCCAACACAGGGTGCTCACCCCTGCTTCCGCATTGATGACCTTGAAAATGAAACCCAGCAAACATTTCCCGAGGGGTGCAGGAAGTCCACACCCGGGAGGGAGCCGGGAACCCTGGGTCCTTGTCCCCGTTCTCTCTCTCATTAGTTGTGTGACCCTTGTCAAGCCCCTGGCCTGCTCTGCACTTTAGCTTCCCTCCGACTAAAATGAACGAGCGCAGCAGGCTCTTGTCTAGTTCCCCCTCTCTGTCTCCCAACAGGCTCTCCGTGGAAGCCCAAACCCCTCCGCTTTCCATGGGCAGCTGCCAGGCAGGGCACAACCTGCACCTCTGCCTGGCCCACCACCCACCTCTGGTCTGTGCCACTCTAATTCTGCTGTTGCTTGGCCTCTCCGGCCTAAGCCTTGGCAGATTCCTGCTCACCCACCAGACTGGCCTACGCAGCCCTGACATCCCTCAGGTACGTCTCCACCCAGCTGGCCGGCGGCCACCCGCGCAGGTAAGCTCTCATTGCTGCTCCCCTCTCACCTCCCTCTTTGCCCTCTCTGTACACAGGACTGGGTCTCCTTCTTGCGATCTTTCGGCCAGCTGACCCTGTGTCCTGTGAATGAGTCTCGCCCAGGGAAGTGGCGTGAGTCCCATGTCGTGGGCTTACTGACCACCTTGGACTTTGGAAATGGGCCGGATGGGAACAAGACCCAGACTTTCCAAGCCGAGGTCCTGGGTAGTCAGATGGGACTGGAAGGTAAGATGGGGGAGGACTGAGGGGTTGGGCGATAGAATGCTGGGGGGTTGTCAACACCCTCACTGTCCGGTGACCTTCGGCCTTCATCACACATCTGCTGTGTGATCTCTGGGCCTTCATCACACATCTGCTGTGAGGGGCTTATAAACTTCCAGTGAACACGCTGGAGTGCTTTAAAAAGAACCCCCACACCCCTTAGTAGTTATTCCTAAGCCCCCATTCCTAGTCTGTTTTCTGCACTTGTGGGTTTCTGCAGTGTAGGGTCTCGATACACTTTCCCCTTCGGGGGCTGAGGTTCTCTGCATCTGTTCTTGGGTAGTGCTAAGGCTTGGGCTAGGTGAGAACCTTTCTCACCCCTCTTCATCAGTACACCCTTCTCTTAAAGAGGCGCTCATTTTCCCATCAAGGCTATCAGAGAAGCATGTTCTGCCCAACTCTTGGGTGTCCCCTGTGTGCTTAGCACAGCACTGCCTGACATGGATGGAGGGTGCAGAAAAAATTGGACTGCACCCAGTTCCAAAGAGTCTTCTTCTGGGAGAATGATGAATGATGGAGTCATTAGGTGCTATCAACTCCTGTGTCACATTTGGCCTCAGCTTTCTTATCGAAGAACTTCGTTTTATCGAAAGACGAAGAGGGAGGAGGGGAAGGTAAAATGCTCTGGCTTTTGAGGTCCTTTCTGTAAAACACTGGGACCCCTGTCGTGGGCGTAGTGTTGAGGTGTTGGGCTGCACTCCCAAGATCAGCAGTTTGAACCACCAGCTCCTCCAGGGGAGAAAGCGGGCTTTCTACTGCAGTCAACAGCTCCAGCCTCGGAAACTCCCAGGGCCATTTCTCCCCAGCCCTGTAGGGGTCACTATGAATCAGTATTGACCCGAAGTCGGTGAGCTTTGAGTGTGATGTAAAACACTCTCATTCTTTTTTTTTAATCATTTTATTCGGGGCTCATACAACTCTCATCACAATCCACACATTAAAGCGCATTTGTACATTCATTGCCCTCATCATTCTCAAAACATTTCCTCTCCACTCAAGCCCCCGGCATCAGGTCCTCATTTTTCCCCTCCCTCCCCGCTCCCAAAACACTCTCATTCTATGATGCCACGATGCTTTGTATCTCAATAAAATCAGACAATGGTATTTCTAAAAGCCCACTTCTCCCGGGGACAGTGGCAGGAACTTTGGGGGCAAGTACAAAATGACACGGCTCTGCCATCCAGAAGACTTGCGCCTTCACATTCCATTTCTACCAGCTTTTGTGCCAGGCTAGCTGTGTGCTCAGTGGGCATTGGCCCATGTTTTCCCGATTCTTGCCTCTTAACCTTGCTATCCAGCCCCGGGGATGGGTCTGATGACCTTCCCTGGGATAGCATAGCAATGACTTCTCCAGGAGCAGGATTCGAGGCGAGACTTGAACCTAGGGCTCCTGCCTCCATGTTTCGTTCTTTTCCAGGTAAGATAGACTCGGGTGCGTCTCCAGAAGGTGAATATGTGTATGTGTGGGAGTGGGAGTGGGTCTCGGCAGATCCAGGTGACATGACACCTGTGAGCAAAGCCCAGGATGAAAAGAATGCATCTGATGTTACGGACGTCAGAACCATGTGACTCTTCTTTTCACTAGTTTAGAAACACAGCTTTACGGAGATAGAATTCACATTCAGTACAAACCACTCACCTCCAGAGGGTGCTTTTAATACATCACCCCAGTCAGCCTTAGACTGTTTCTTTACTTCCAAAAGAAACCCCACGTTCTGTAGCAATTATTCCCCATTGCCTCCCAGGCCCCCCGCCCTAAGCCACCTCTAGTCTACTCTCTGCCCTTGTTGATGTTCCAATTTCGGAGTCATAGAGCATACTTTTTTCTGTGTCTACCTTATTTCCCTTAGGCTAATCTCAAAATTCATGCATGTATCAGTACCTCCTTCCTTTTTATAGCTGTATAGTATTCCACGGTCTGGATATACCGTGTTTGGTTTGTCCATTCAGGGCTTGATGGTCATTTGAGTTTCTGTGTTTTAGCCAGCATTAATTATTCTCATGTGAACATTTTTGTACACACTTGTGTCTGGGCATGTTTTCATTTCTCTCGGGTGTATAAAAGTGGAATTACAGGCTCATGTGGCCACTCTGTTTAACTTTTTGAGAGACTGTCAGGTGGCTTTCAAGTGTGGCTGTACCAGTTATGTTCCCACCAGTAGACAATAAAGCGTGACATTCCTCCACACCCTGGGCAAAATCTGTCTCCCCTTTTCATTCAAGTTTGATGAAAGGGTGTGACTTTGATTTGCATTTCCCTGATGGCTAATGATGTTGAACATCGTTCTGTGTGCTTATTGGTTATTTGTCTATCTTCCTTGGGGAGCTGTATATCCCATGGCACATTTCTTAATTGGGTTATTTGCCTTTTTAGTCTTGAGCTATAAGATTTCTTTTTTTTTTTTTTTTTGAGCTATAAGATTTCTGCGTTCTGAGTAGAAGTCTCTTCTTATCAGAGTGATGATTCCAGATCCTTTCTTCTGTTCTGTGGGTTATCTCTGTTGTTATCTTCAGGGTGCTCGTGAAGGACAGAGGCCGCAGGTGGGAACCGTGCATAGGGCTTCTGTTTGGTGAGAGAACAGTGTGAATGAAGAAGCAGCAAAAAGTCCACAAGGGTCTTGTGTGCTGGGCCAAGGTGATTGCATTTTTCCTGTGTCCTGCGGAGACTCAACCGGTTGATCAGAACGAAAAGAATGGCGTTTTGTTGTTGGGTCATTTGAAAAGATTATGCTGCTGGTCCCCTGACCGGCCGGAGGGTATCCACATGCAGGAAGGCCAGTTAGCTGGAGTGGGTGCTGTAAAGAGGAACCTGAGCAGAGAATTGATTTGAGACGGACATTAGAAGTGGGGGGTTGGCAGAGAGAGTGGCTGATGCCATCTGGAGCGGGTAGACGCAGGGAGAGACATTCTCTTTCGGCCTTTTACATGTTTTTTTCTAGAGTGGTAATGATGGGGCAAGGGGCCCTGGTGGCGCCGTGGTGAAAGCTCTGGATTGTGAACTCCAAGGTGGGAGGTTCACACCCAGCAGCCATTCCCAGGAAGAAAGGTGCCGCAGTCCTTTCTGACTCAGGCTGAGCCTTCAAGACGGCACTGCCCTCGAGGGCTTCCGAGGCTGTCCATCTTTCAGGAAGCAGATTGCCCTGTCTTTCCCCCACAGCACAGCTGGCGGGCTCCCCATCAATCCGAGCTTCAGTTCTGAGCTCCCGATTTGCAGAAGGCTATGGATGGATGACAGCTACTGCCCCAGAGCCATTGGCAGAGTCCCCAGAGATGAAGCCGCCCTTGAATTCCTTCTGATCATTAACCAGGCGTGGATAATCTCGCTCAACACTGAACCCACACAGCCACCAGGGCACTTTTCTGGAAAGAGGGCTACCTCGGAGACCCTCTGGGGTCCTGTGCTGTCCCACAGGGTCGCTGTGGGTTCCTGTGGCCTCCATAGGCAGTGGCGCATGTGGCCGGCTATACTTCCCAAAGTGCTGACCCATATTCCTACTTCTGTACCATCGTGAGGCTGGCACAGGCCGGGCAAGGGTTCTTTTGCTGTACACAGGGTTGGGGCAGACTGCGTCTGACAACAGCAACGTCCGAAGTAGGTATTTATTGGCTGTAAAGTAGGGCCTGAAGTGGCCAGGCCATCATTTGGGGTTTTTTTGCTTGTTTGTTTTAAATCATTGTATTGGGGGCTTGTTCAACTCTTATCACAATCTATACATCCATCCACTGTATGTCAAGCACACTTGTACATTTGTTGCCCTCATCATTCTCAAAACATTTGCTTTCTACTTGAGCCCTTGGTATCAGCTCCTCATTTTCCCCCCTCCCTCCTTGCTGCCCCCTCTCTCATGAGCCCTTGATGACTTATCAATTATTATGTGTCATCTTCAGGCCTTCATTCGTTAATGATTTCGCTATCATCTTTACCATGGCAATTGTTTCTTACCGGTATTATTGGTAGACACACGTTTCTGGTAGAGTCAGCGTTTTCCTTCTGAATTCTTTCCTTAGGATTGATTTCTACAAATGATGTGACTGGGTGAAAGGGCCTGCCTTCCACGGTAGATTCCGGAACAGACATAACAAAGCCTTCCCTCCCTGCTTTAAACTATTTGTCTTCTTTGATTTTGAGGAGGTCTTAAGACATGGTGGGTAGTAAACCATTTGTCAATTAAATATGTTTGCAAACAATCTATTACTCATTTGTTCTTTTAACTTTGTTTTATTCTATAGAAACCTTTACTCCCATGAGGCCAGATTTCTCCGGCTTGCCTTTTATTAAGGCTTTTAGCTTTTCTTTTTTTTAACCTACTTCCAACTTCTTTTCTTTTAAGGATTTTAGCTTTTGGGTCTGTCGTTGGAAGGCTCTCCACATTCTAAAAACACAAATATTCTTCTGTATTCATAAAATTTTTATGGTGATTGGGGGGAAAACAAACAAAGGAGCCGGGGTGTGTCACGGGTTATGTGTTGGGCTGCTGACCTGAAGGTCAGTGGTTCAGACCCACCAGCTGCTCTGTGGGCGAACGACGAGGCGCTCTGCTCCCCACAGCCGCACAGCCTCAGAAGCCCTGTGGAGCAGTTCTGTTTCGTCTTACGAGTAGACTCAGTGGCAGTGAGTTCAGTGTTGGAATGGGGACATAGTAGTTGATGGATTGGGCTGTGAACTACAGGGTCTTCAGTTCAAGCCCATCAACCAGTCTGGGAGAAAGATGAGTCTCTGCTCCCCTAAAGATGTACAGTCTCTGCCTCCCACAGGCCAATTCTACTCTACCTACAGACAGGGAGCCCGACTGGCATAGGGGATTACGAGCCAGCCTGTTAACCACACGGTCAGCAGTTTGACTCTTCCCAGCTACTCCTTGGGAAAAGAGGAGGCTGTCTGTTCCCATGGAGATCAACAGCCTTAGCATCCCATCAGGTCAGTTCTGTCTGTCCCGCAGGGGCACGATGAGTCAGACTCCCAG